CCGATGCCAATATTTACTTAAGTCAATTCGTAAGTGATATGAAGACGATTTTGAAAAATGGCATTATTTTTAAGGAGAAGAAATGTGATGTTTTAATATCGAAAAGTGTGTGTGATAGCCCAGCTCGAGCATTCTTAACCTGCTGGGTATTTTAGTTGTCCAAAATGCATTCAAGAAGGCTATTTTGAAAAACACGTAATTTTAACAGAAATTGATGCTATATTGAGAACAGATGAATCATTTAGATCAAAACAACAACCAGAGCACCATACTGGTCTATCTATTTTAGAGGATTTGGGGATCGGTATGGTTTCCCAAGTTGCATTGGACTATATGCACATGGTGTGTTTGGGGGTGACAAAGCGCCTGATTTCTCTCTGGATGTCCGGATCTAGAGATATTCGCTTTACGGACGAGCAGAAAAGGAATATGAACAATTATATAATAGAGCATAGAAAGTTGTTTCCTTCGGAATTTTCCAGATTGCCTAGAAGGCTAGACGATCATAAACATTGGAAGGCCACTGAATACAGACAATTTTTGTTGTATTCTGGATTAGTAATTTTAAAACCTGTGTTAAGTAACCAATTGTTTTTAAATTTTTTACATTTCAGTTTAGGCATTAGAATACTATGTGATCCAGAGGCATGTCTCAACTGGAATAGTTTGGCAGGGGACTTATTAAAACTTTTTGTAATTAATTATTCTGATTTATATGGTTCAGATAGATTAACATTTAATATTCATAATATAATCCATCTAGCTGATGAAGTTAAGAATTTTGGTTGTTCATTAGACAAATTTAGTTGCTTTCCATTTGAAAATTATTTCAGAAGTGTGAAAAATAAGATTCAAGATTCCCCGAAGCCCTTGCAACAATTAGTAAACAGAATGTGGGAAGAAAAAACTATTAAAAGCCAAAGTGAATTTATTAAAATTAAAAGTTTTCCAGTAATACACCGGACAAAAACATCAAAAATAGAGAAAATTGAATTTAAAATTTTTCTTTAAGTAATATAGCTCCGAATAACTGTTGTTTAACAACTGAGAATAAAATTGTTTTAATAAATAACATTTGTGATGTTAATAAAATATTGTGTTCGGAAGCGACAATGAGAAAATCATTATTTTCAAAACCATTTGACTCGAAACTATTTAATATTCATGTTTTTGACCCAAAAATTATGAGAGAAGTGACAATATCTGTGAAGGAAATAAAACAAAAATGTGTAGCACTGCCTTATACAACTAAATCTAATTATGTGGCTTTTCTGCACCAGTAATTTGTATTTTTGTAACTATAGTTCTTTATGTAAATATAATTGTAAATAAATAAATGTTAATGGAAGTAAATATATACAATTTTTATAGACTTTTTGATATTTTGATTAACAAAAATTTGTTAATGTTTCAAAATAAATGTTTTACAGGTTTAAAAAAGTATTAAATCTTTCAAACTTTTTCAAACATTCTCAAATCACCCGTAGGTTACAAATTGTTAAAACTGTCAAAACTATTCAAACTAGTTGAGAGTGGCATTTTGTCTTAACAGAACTTGCATAATCTTCCCGGCATGTATAAATAATCAACTTTACTAAGACATCATATATTATAATTTGCGACTGATTTATAAGTAAACTGATTTGCTGTCGGAAAATTTTTGGAAAAGCAGGTCCAGCGGTTATAGAGATCTAGTAAAAAAAAATGACATTAGGCAGTCGTAAATGATCATTAGACTTATGCACATCCAATTATCAGATATTTTATGGAGGTTTTAATAATATATATCAATTTTGTTTACGTTTCTATGGGTTCCGTAACATTGTTTGTCCGTTGGACGGCGTTGGAAGTTTAAAATTTTTTGGAATTAAAAAAAAAACTTTTTTTTTTAAATATTTTGAGAATTTGGAAATTTTTGTTATATTCGATTTTTTTTAATTTTTGAAATAAATAATTTTGTAAGAATTTTTTTTTTAATTTTTTAAAATTTAGTTTTTTTTTGAAAATGATGAAAAATTTCGAAAATTTGCATTTTTTGAAACTTTAAATTTCTTTGAAAATTTTGATTATTTTTTTCTAATTTTTAAAATTTAAAAATATTCTGTAAATGCTTTTTTGCACATCATCTACTTAAACAAAATGTTTTTTGAATTAATCTAATCGGATAATCCGTTCTCTCAAAAACTGCATAACCGTTTTTACACCCTTTACGCTTCATACCTCCGAAACGGCAAAATTGCCTTTTGCAAAAACGCCTCGCGATCGTGTACGAACCAAATGATTTTTTAATCATACAAATCGGTCATTCGATACTGTTGAAAATGGCGAGGACATTTGTTTGGAACATTAAAACAACTTAAAATTAAAAATCTTGGTACGGAACCCAAAAAAAATTATACAAAATGGGTACACATTATCTTAAAATATCTGATAATATACATTATCAATTGTCCAATAAACATTTTTGACCGCCAAATGATATTTTTTTAACTTGTTTTTATTGAGAGTTCATAACCGCTAGACCTGCCTTCCCAAAAATTTTACCAGTTGTTCATTTTGTCAATACAAGTAAAATGTTTTTTGAATTATTAAAATCGGACGCTCCGTTCTCTTAAAAACTTAGTTACCGTTTTTGACACTTTTTGCCCCGTATCTTCGGAACGGTTAGACCTGCTTTCGCCAAAAACTAATCAGCACGTCTTCCCATCAATACGGATCGAATGTTTTTTGAATTATTCAAATTGGTTGATCGTCGACGAAAAATTGTATCCACACACACGCACACACACACACACATACATCAATTTTTTCTAAGGTATGCCAAAATATTCAGAAACCTTTGAAACGTAAAGATATATAAAAAAATTCATTTTTGATTTTTTGCGATTACTATAGACCACCAATGCAGAGACGAAGAACTTCTGGCAATAGTAAGTATAATTTTTCTTCTATTTTAAATATTACTTATATTACTATGTGATACATTCTGCATTTTATTATTTTAAGATGAACTAGTGGGGCGCATGGCATCGTGCCTTAAGGCAAATTGCTGGAACTTCCCGTACCAAAAAATATTTTTTTTAATAAGATTAACATTTTTGAAAAAAAATTACTCTGAAAAAATAGATTTTTGAGAAACTATAAATTTTTGACAAAAACTGACTTTTTGTTGAAAAATTTATTTCTAAATATTTTGGAAATTTTGAACTTTTTTTCAAAGCAATTCTACTGCTTTAAATGCATAGAGACTAAATATCGAAGCGCGTAAGCGCCGCGTCGCTGTCTAACGGATAAACATTGGTACGGAACCCATAGGAATGTAAACAAAATTTATACTTATTGTTAAAATCTCTATAAAATATCTGATAATTTGATGTGCATATGTCTAATGTCTAATGATTATTGTTGACCGCCAAATGGTATTTTTTTTAGTTTTTTTTACTAGATCTCCGAAACCACTAGACCTATTTTCATGAAAATTTGATAAGTGTTCATCTTGTACGCACACACACACACACATACATCAATTTTCTCCAAGGTATGCCAACATATTCAGAAACCTTTGAAACGTAAAGATATATAAAAATTTTCATTTTCGATTTTTTTGCGATTACTATATCTTACCCTACGCAAAGTTAATTATAAATAAATCAATTTATCATCTCCAGAACATTAACAATCGTCATTTCATTTCGAATCAAATTTCAAAAAAAAAATAGTTGCCAAATTTACACAAAATTGAAAAAGTGCTCCCGCATAGTCACAGTCTAAACGCATTTGCAAATAATTCTGTGCGACTTTTTCACTTATACTGTGCTTAGCTTGGCGGCATTTTCACATTTTTCCATGATTTTCACAAAATTGGAAAAGTGCTCCAGTACATAAACAGTCTAAACGCACTTGCGTAAACATTTGTACCAGAATGGCGCTTAGACTGTGCTTAGCCTGGGTGATTTTTTGAATTTTTAATCCCAAATTACAAAAAAATTTTTTTGAAAAAAAAATTCGAAACAAAAAATTTTTTTTTCCAAAATCAATTATTTTGTTGAAACAAGCAAAAAGTTCTTTGAATCTCGGACGCTTAGTTCTCTCAAAAACCGCCATTTTTTTAACATTTCGCTCTGTATCTCCGAAACCGCTGGGCCTACCTTTGCCAAAAACTAATCAGCACATCTCCCTATCAATAGGAATCGAATGTTTTTTAAACCATTCAAATCGGTTGATCCGTTCTCTCAAAAACTCGCTTTCTATTTTGTGCACTCTTTGCTTCATATCTCCGTAACGGCTGGACCTGCCTTTGCCAAAAACTAATCAGCACATCTCCCTATCAATAGGAATCGAATGTTTTTTAAACCATTGAAATTGGTTGATCCGTGCGCCCGAAAACGTGGACGAAAAAACGCGGACATACAAAACACACACACACACACACACACACACATCCATTTTTTCTGAAGTATGCCAAAATGTTCAGAAACCTTCGAAACGTCGAGAAATGTAAAAATTTTTGATTTCGATTTTTGGACGATTACTATAACTTACCCTACGGGAAGTTAATTAAATCACCTCGTAAACTCAATGGAATACGTATTGAAAAGACAAACAGAGTCTCTTACTAACATGATGGAGAAACAGACAGAGGCGCTGCAATGCATAGCCGATCAATTGAAAATTCTCAATAATACATTAAAAAATAAATTTAACAGCCAATAAATTTTGTTTTCTATTCCTTTATATATATATATATATATATATATATATATATATATATATTTATATATATATATATATATATATTTATTTATTTATTTAAAATAATTACATTTATGTAGCTATAAAAATACAAGCTTTTTTTTTAAGTTAATATTATGGTATTAAAAATATCTTCTGGCATAAGAATTTCTGATGTTATATGCCATATTATCTGCCTCATTGTATACTTCTGAAATATTTAAATCAATTAATTTTAACTACACATTTGAAATACAATTATTTGGTATCTAACCGTTTCCAAAATCATCACTATATTCCGTCAGTTCTTCATCCAGAGGAATATTATTTACTCTGCATATATTATGCAGAGTAAATACTGCATACACAATTTTTCCTGCCACATCAGGTGTATAATGCAGTGTCCTGTGACGATGCAAACGTCGAAAACGACTTTTAACAACACCAAATGTTCTCTCTATTACATTGCGAGTCTTTTTGTGGAACTTATTGTATTTCTCCTGGGTAGAGCCTACTGGTGTCCTATATGGTGTGAGTAGGCAATGTTCCAAAGGGTAACCTGAATCTTCTGCAAATGTACAACTAATATATATTTTTTTAACTTCCCGTAGGGTAAGTTACAGTAATCGTCCAAAAATCGAAATCAAAAATTTTTACATTTCTCGACGTTTTGAAGGTTTCTGAACATTTTGGCATACTTCAGAAAAAATGGATGTGTGTGTGTGTGTGTGTGTTTTGTATGTCCGCGTTTTTTCGTCCACGTTTTCGGGCGCACGGATCAACCGATTTCAATGGTTTAAAAAACATTCGATTCCTATCGATAGGGAGATGTGCTGATTAGTTTTTGGCAAAGGCAGGTCCAGCCGTTACGGAGATATGAAGCAAAGAGTGCAGAAAATAGAAAGCGAGTTTTTGAGAGAACGGATCAACCGATTTGAATGGTTTAAAAAACATTCGATTCCTATTGATAGGGAGATGTGCTGATTAGTTTTTGGCAAAGGTAGGCCCAGCGGTTTCGGAGATACAGAGCGAAATGTTAAAAAAATGGCAGTTTTTGAGAGAACTAAGCGTCCGATTTAAATGATTCAAAGAACTTTTTGCTTGTTTCAACAAAATAATTGATTTTGGAAAAAAAAATTTTTTTTTCGAATTTTTTTTTCAAAAAAATTTTTTTGTAATTTTGGGTCTAAAAATTCAAAAAATCACCCAGGCTAAGCACAGTCTAAGCGCCACTCTGGTACAAATGTTTACGCAAGTGCGTTTAGACTGTTTATGTACTGGAGCACTTTTCCAATTTTGTGAAAAATCATTGAAAAATGTGAAAATGCCGCCAAGCTAAGCACAGTATAAGTGAAAAAGTCGCACAGAATTATTTGCAAATGCGTTTAGACTGTGACTATGCGGGAGCACTTTTTCAATTTTGTGTAAATTTGGCAACTATTTTTTTTTTTTTAATTTGATTCGAAATGAAATGACGATTGTTAATGTTCTGGCGATGATAAATTGATTTATTTATAATTAACTTTGCGTAGGGTAAGATATAGTAATCGCAAAAAAATCGAAAATGAAAATTTTTATATATCTTTACGTTTCAAAGGTTTCTGAAAATGTTGGCATACCTTGGAGAAAATTGATGTATGTGTGTGTGTGTGCGTACAAGATGAACACTTATCAAATTTTCATGAAAATAGGTCTAGCGGTTTCGGAGATCTAGTACAAAAAACTAAAAAAAATACCATTTGGCGGTCAACAATAATCATTAGACATTAGACATATGCACATCAAATTATCAGATATTTTATAGAGATTTTAACAATAAGTATAAATTTTGTTTACATTCCTATGGGTTCCGTACTAATATTTATCCGTTAGACGGCGACGCGGCGCTTACGCGCTTCGATATTTAGTCTCTATGCATTTAAAGCAGTAGAATTGCTTTGAAAAAAAGTTCAAAATTTCCAAAATATTTAGAAATAAATTTTTCAACAAAAAGTCAGTTTTTGTCAAAAATTTATAGTTTCTCAAAAATCTATTTTTTCAGAGTAATTTTTTTTCAAAAATGTTAATCTTATTAAAAAAAAATAACTTTTGGTACGGGAAGTTCCAGCAATTTGCCTTAAGGCACTATGCCATGCGCCCCACTAGTTCCTTATTTGATTTGCGATATTAAATATATTCTTGAATTGCCCAATAAATATGTCCCATCATCAGCATTATGAGTTAGCAGGGCTCTGACTGTCGAAACCTTCCAAATGGCTGCATCATGAGTGGAGCCAGGATATCTGCTGCTCGCAAACAATATCCGTTCATCGGCATCACATATCTAATATTATTTATTATCATGTTAGTCTTCAAAATTCTTAAGCAAAATAAAATAATACTTACTACTTCAATATTAATTGAGTAATAGCCCTTCCTATTCATATAAATAGTAGCTGGTGCCACGGGGTGCTATGCACCCAATAATGCCAGGCATGCCAAACTTCGTATAAAATCTGTTAAATAGCAACATATTACAGACCATGTTCAATGTACACGAAGTGGTGTAACATATACCTCTTTTTATTTTCATCTCTTTCTGATGAGGTTTTAGGAAAATTCACGTACTTTGGTGTAGCATGCTTTATAATTAAATCAGTCACTGTTTTAATGCAGCGACTGACTGAAGGCTGGCTCATAGAATTTAAATGGCAATTGCCTACATCAGTCTGATATGAGCCATGACCAAAAAAATGAATCGCTGCAAGTACCTATAATGAAATTTCAGTTATTAGTATTTCAAAAAAATTAATTCATTTTAATTTCCAATACCTGCAAATAAAAGGGATACTCCATGATGCTGTATGAGTCTCCGCATATGGTTCCAACAGTTCTATTGAATCTTTCATAACATTTTTCGTTAATCGAAATTTTTTTATAAAAATTTCATCACTCACTTCCCATACATTATCTGCATCTCTGAGATACCTAAGGGCGTATCTTTGCCTGTATCTAAAATGTTGTGGCATTTAATAATTTTAATACTTTTGAGTAATACATTCATTACAATAACAGTATGAATTATATTAAAATTCAAACATACCTTCTTCTCCTACTATCTGCTGCCCAAATTATTCCAAAAAACGCCATATTAACAATTTGAAATTCACAATAAAAGCTAAACCAAACCTATCACTTGCTTACATTAACAATAACCTCAAAAAAGCATGTTAAACGCATAAATGTCAAAATAGCAAATGTCAAATCTGTTCATAGTACAACTTCTCGTCAATGTTATAGCGATAAGTGCGAGTTTCTGACCACGTTTATTTTCAGAGGGTCAGCGTAACATTAATGTTATCATATGATAAATCACATACCGCCGAGAATAACTGTTACACTTATAATGACATTTTAAACGACATAAGTGTGAACTTGTCGTAAAATTGAAACCGAGAATCGGCCCATTAGTTAACATTTGTTATATAACTTTGTAATTTCAAAATACATTGCGCGTACATTTCATTTAGTTAACACTTGTTATATAACTTTGTAACATAAAAAGTTACATTGCGGCAACAAGTAGTGTTTACTGGGTACTCATGGTATTTTTCACATGATAAATGATGCAGTAAGGGAAGAAATCAGTGTTGACCAGTACGGCTGTTTTCCATTTGAGAGTTATTTGGGACATTTACTAAAATTGATACGAGGACCAGCAAAGCTTTTGCAACAAGTATCATGCAGACTACTCGAACAATTTCATGATAAATCGAATGTAGATCCAAATGATATTGAAATACATAAAAAAAAATCCAAGATTGATTCTGTTAAAATAAATGGATATAAAATATATTTGTCAATTAATAAGGATTGTCATATATTGCTCCCTAATAAAAACATAATGTGTGTAGATGAAATAATTGAACAGGAATCGCATTTACTTTTTCGAGGGTTTCTCTTACCCTTTTAACCCACACTTGAAAACAAAGTTTTAAGGTCTTTGCTCATACATTTTTTAGCATTGATGTAATCAATTGCTTTTTGTTTGTTCCGCCGGTCAGAGTTAGTTGAATCGACTGTAAATAAGAATTCAATAAATACATTGCATATTAGCTATAGAAACATTAACTATAGAAAATATTTGTAATCCCTGAAGATATCCACATTTTTCAGCTTTTCTTCTAAATCGTCTAATTCTTCATTCGTCTTAATAGGTAACATAAAGTTAGTTTTTTTTCACGGATTTAATCTGTGAAGCTGATGCCTCGTAGAGGTAGAGCTCAGAGTGTTATCGTCTGAGCTCTCAATACACGATTGATTTTGAGTTCTTTTTACATACTTCTTCACGTTTTTATAATCGGTGGTGCTTCTCATAAACTTAGCCTCCAATTCAGAGTAATCTCTAAACGAAGGAGGCTCGCACGCCTTCAGCATCTTACTTAGTTTATGGCCTGCTGCATTTTCTGATCATAATTACATAGTCTTCTCCTCGTTTACAGCCCATGATGAGGGCACGTGTCCGCATGAACCCTCTTTTTAAAAATCACTATATCCCATGAACACTATCAAATATAATGGTACCAATTTTGAAATTTATTTATTACTATATATCAGTTATAGTTATTACTATAACTAATTATTTCAAATATTTAAATTAAATAATTGAAATTCATTTTTAAAAGAACTTACCTCCATATTCACTTATTCAAAATTTAACTTCGTAAACTTATCTTTAAACAAATACCTGCAACTGTTGCGACGATCAAAACTGGAAAGAAATACGAAATGCAATTGCGATCCTTGCAACTACAGAAAATTAAATTTTGGCGCGATTATTTATTAGTGTGGGCACTGATTTATATTTTCTTCAAAACCAAATGCGTAAAAAATGTTTTGCAATATGCATTTATTAGAATATATAGGATGATATATTCATAAATAATATCAATAACAACTATGATACAAATAATATTGATAATGACATAAATAGGAGTATTTTTAGTAAATGTAAATAGATCGAACCAAATTATTGAACGTGTATATAACTGGCAGACTCACAACTGGCATGCCCAGGTATTTGACAGTTTTGTGGGCGTGGCTTATCGGCGAAGGCGTGGCTACATTTAAAACCTAATTTTTTAACTTCCCGAAGGAGAAGTTTATGTTTTAATCAAAAAATCCGATTCTCTAATTTTATGTTTTCTCTACGTTTCAAGCCATTCTGAATCGAATGAGAACAAATTTGGAAAAAGTATGTGTGTGTGTGTGTGTGTGTGTGTTTGTATGTGTGTGTGAACAGCTTTTTTGCCGTAAATCGACGTTTTCTCGAAAACGGCTGGGCCGATTTCAAAAATTTAAAAGCCATTTGATGCATCTCGACGAGGACTATCGATTGTCAGTTTTGTGGGACGATCGGCCGAGACGTTTCTTTATAAATAGCAAAAAAGTGAAAATTTTTTGTGCACGTTTTAGCCCGCAATTCTGAACCGATTAAGAAAATTCAATAACCGTTCGAAAGATATTGATTGGGAATCGTGCTGATTAGTTTTTGGTAGAGATCGGCCGGGCCGTTTTCTTGTAATAAAGTTTTTTAAAAAAAAAATTCGACAATTTTTATGATTATTTTTTTGACGGTAGATACCATAGTCTTCTAGATCATACTAAAATATTGCGGCCCTACGACAACTGGTTCAGCTTTAAAAATTCGTCAAAGTTTGCAAACATTGGTATTGTTTTTTTGGCATTTGTCAAAATTAGACTTTTGATCGACGTTTTCTCAAAAACGCCTGAACCGATTTTGAAAATTTAAAAGCCATTTGATGTATTTTGGTGAGGACTATCGTTTGTCAGTTTTGTGCGACGATCTGCCAAGCCGTTTCTTTGCAATTTGAAAAAAAGTGTTGAACTTTTCGTCCACATTTAAGCTCATCCTACCGAACCGATTTTAAAAAATCAAAAACTGTTCTAAAGATATTAGTTGGGAATGGTACTGATTAATTTTAGGTGAAAATCTACCGAGCCGTTTTCTTGTAATTAACTGTTGAAAAAAGTGTTAAACTTTTCGTCCACATTTAGGCTCATCCTACCGAACCGATTTTAAAAAATCAAAAACTGTTCGAAAGATATTAGTTGGGAATGATACTGATTAGTTTTAGGTGAAAATCTACCGAGCCGTTTTCTTGTAATTAACTGTTGAAAAAAAGTGTTAAATTTTCGTGCACATTTAAGCTTATCGCATTTTTTGTTTTTTTTTTTTGTATTTCTTTTTTTTGCTCATATCAATTTTGTAAATAAGACTTTAAAGTCTTGATTAACAGAAATAAATTGTAACAAAAAAAAAAAAAAATTTAAGCTTATCCTACCGAACCGATTTTAAAAAATCAAAAACTGTTCGAAAGATATTAGTTGGGAATGGTACTGATTAGTTTTAGGTGAAAATCTACCGAGCCGTTTTCCTGTAATTAACTGTTGAAAAAAAGTATTAAACTTTTCGTGCGCATTTAAGCTCATCCTACCGAACCGATTTTAAAAAATCAAAAACTGTTCGAAAGATATTAGTTGGGAATGGTACTGATTAATTTTAGTTGAAAATCTACCGAGCCGTTTTCTTGTAATTAACTGTTGAAAAAAAAGTGTTAAATTTTCGTCCACATTTAAGCTCATCCTACCGAACCGATTTAAAAAAATCAAAAACTGTTCGAAAGATATTAGTTGAGAATGGTACTGATTAATTTTAGGTAAAAATCTACCGAGCCGTTTTCGTGTAATTAACTGTTGAAAAAAAAATTTAAGCCGATTTTCGTGGAACTTTTTTTGGCGATATACATCATGGTCTTATATATATTACTTACTGTAATATTACGGCCTTACGACAAGTAGTTTAATTTTAAAAATTCGTCAAACTTTGCTAAAATTATTATCGTTTTTTTTAAAGTAGGATTGATGAAGTATATAATTTACACTTTTTTTTTTGATTAAGTCGATTATTTACACATATCGGGAAGTTCATGTAACTTGCCTCAAGGCTAAATACCAAACCAACTAGTTATGAAAATGATTAAAATATAATAATTTATTCAATTAAATTTCATTTATTTTGCATTATCTTTGTTTGACATAAAAATCTTTAACCTACAATCAAGTATTTTTACATATGTCATAGTACATTGATACCAAACGACATGATCTGCCGTGCCAAAATATGTTCGAAGATATATTCAAATAGTGCAAATCATTGCGAATATTTATCAATTACTGTATTAAAAAGTGGTGAAAAGTGAATATTTATTAATTATTGTATTGAAAAGTTGAAAAAAGTGATTAGAGGTTCTGCAAAAAGTGATTAGATCGTTCTTCCAAATGATCGACATAGTGAAAGTTGTGTTTTTTTTTTTTGATAAATTAGTCGCGGGCCTGCCAGTGTTTATTTGGCACAGTTTTTACATTTATCTTATTAATAACTGAATTAGTGATGAATATTAATAAATAACTATGAATATAAAGTAATAATGTTCTGTTTTATATTAGTTCGAAAACGTTTTCAGCCTACTTTTTGCAATTGTTAACAATTGTTCTTGAGGTTATGTTAGTCGCGGGTCTGCCGGGTTTTATTTGGCCCATTTTTGTGCCAAATGTGAAAATAATGAAATCAGTTAGTTGCAAGTCAAACATCCAAGCTATGTATCATATATATTAATTAATTGTGTGATTAGAATTAAATATTGATTCTAAAATTGTAAGTTGAAGAGTGTCAAATGATATAAGACTTGATTTGTCTTTTGCCCAGATTTTTCTGAGAATATCTTGAAAATCCACAACAATGCTTGCAGCATATATAGTGGGCTTGAAATTAT